AAGACAACAGCAACCGAAGTTAGCCAATCGGCGGCTCCTAAACACCTCACGCGTTACATTCAAGAAGTAAGGTCTTACAGTTTCCAAAACATGAAATTTCATACAGCCCGAGTATATATACACATACAAGCCAAATATTATAATCAGGGTTTACACATCTCCAGCTTCAATCCCAAAACAAAACTATATCGTTTAATTCAAATACATTACAAGTCACAAAACGAAGTAGATACATTCTTAAGAAGATATAAGCAGCTCAGATTTCTCAAACCTCAAGACCTGTCAAGGAAAACAAATAAACGTGGGGTGAGCTAAAGCTCAGTGGTGCCCCAAAATCATGCAATCACTCGAAACAATTAACACGCATTGATTCGACTGAAGTAAATAAATAGGGAAGCAATAATATTCAAGTATACCTTAGACTGGTCGAGGGATTCACCCAACGACATTACATCCAACACTTATATTTATAGACTGGTCGAGGGATTCACCCAACGACATTACGTCTAGCACTTGATTGTTATAGACTGATCGAGGGATTCACCCACCGACTTTACGTCCAGCACTTGATTGTTATAGACTGATCGAGGGATTCACCCAATGACTTTACGTCTAGCACTTAATTGTTATAGACTGATTGAGGGATTCACCGACTTTACCAGCACTTGATTGTTATAGACTGATCGAGGGATTCACCCAACGACTTTACGTCTAGCACTTAATTGTTATTTTGCCATGTTGCAAAGCTTGTTAGGAGTTCTCTGCCTGTGTCATGAACTTGAGTTTTGCCAAGGTAGACGTCATGGTCATTTGGAGGTTCACTAGAATTTTATTTGTTTGTGTGTTTGTGTATCTATGATGGTATTTGTATATGTGTATATGCTCCTTTTGTTGATATTTATATATGTTCTTGTTTGCTGGATCAAAACCTCCCAAACATATTCATTTTTGTGTCTTGCGAAAGCTTTATCCAGTGTGCTTGAAGGGATGTTTACATTGTTTTAAAGTTCCAGGTGCTTTTTTAATCAACTATTGAAGTCTTTGAATTATTACTGCAGTATTCGGTAAATGGCTATGAGGGGTAGGAATGGGTACCAAAATTAATGATGCCCGTACATGTTGCTAGGTAGACCACTATAGCAATCAATCAATGGGAATGAAAGTATTAGATCTTTCCCCCTATGACTCCCCACTTATAGCTTGAGTTTTGAATTGATTAACTCTTTGATAGAACGAAACTCATTCCACTTCCAACCAAATATGTAATGGGGAATGACCAACACCATACTAATAGTGAGATTTGTGGTTCCAATTCTGATTTCAATTGTGGAGTACAAACCAAACAGCTCATAAGTTGTCAGTAAAGACGTGGTTATGCTCATGGAAAATGATTTTCGTTGTATTTTCCTCTCTTTGCTTGGTTAGATTCATTTATACAAGAAGGAAGAGATGCTGATATGAAACTTGTCTTGTCTGTCATTAGATATTGTGTATTGTGATCTTAGACTGATTTTCATGCATTGAGTGTCATTGAATTGTTTATGCAATTTATTTTGATATCTTAATATTATGGAAATGTTGTTTGTTCATTGTTATTTTCTACATTCAATACAGGTGCAGAAACATTCCCAAATTCAACATTGGGCTGGGTTGATGTCAGAGATGTTGCTAATGCCCATGTACTAGCTTTTGAAAATCCGTCGGCAAGTGGAAGATACTGCCTGGTTGAAAGAGTGGCACATTACTCTGAAGTTGTGAAGATCTTGCATACGCTATATCCTTCTGTGAAACTTCCAGAAAAGTAAGTTTAAGCTCTGTATTTAGACTTGATAATGCATATACAAGTAGGGATTCACATCTGCAACATAAATTTATGTCTGGAATGCTTCATGCATGTATGTGCATCTGTAATTTTTCTGTTAGGATTTATTATGATGTGCCACGTGGATAAATCATATCTGGAGGCTATTACCTATTAATACCATCTGTTGACGATGGAAGACAGAATAAATATTAAGAAACTCTTGTTGCAGAATACAATTTCCATCATCTGAGTAAAATTAGTTATTGATTAGAGCTTGTATAAAATAGCTGTTCTCTATTATGTTTTAGAAGTTCTGGTCAAGGTTTATGTTGTCGAATTCACAAGATTTTGAAATTTTCCCTATTTGAAATAGGATTAAGTTGCCAAGGAGGCCTTGGTCAAGTGACTAAGGTTGAAACCGTAAGAATTAGAGCACCTGGGTTCAATTATCCCGTAACCCTTCCCTGCTTCTTAAACGCCATTCTTCCTTGCTTAAAAAAAATAATAAAATAAAACAAAATATTAAAAAATAGGTTAAGTTACTTCGGGAAAGTTAATACTGACTATATAGTTAATTTAGTTGGTACTTAACTAAGGAATCCTTTTCCTTGTAATAGTGATCTAGTTCTTGGAATCTTTGCTCCACAATTACTAAACCAAGGACAGCCTACTAATCCTGGCAACCTGATTAGGTAGAAAAGTAGATAAGGATGAGAATATCATTAGTTGTAGAAGATCTGTTATTGAACATAGGGGATTGTTTGGGGTGGCCAAGAACAGAATGGGTGGCCTTTTGAAGAGTTGGCTTTCATCAATTCAAATCAAACCACTGTGTCAATTTTTTGAGATAGTGTACTTCAAATTACAGCTCTTTAAGAATGTTTACCTGAAAGTTTTGACCTTTCTTCATTGCAACAAGACTTTTTACCTTTCTGAATTCTGATCTTCATCTGCTTTTATTTGATTTCATGTCTAAATGGTGAGATCCGTGTATAATATGTGAAGTTATGCACAAAATTCTGGTTTTTCTTTCCCCTTTGCTGCTTTACCAGATCCTGCTGTGAGAAGATCCATTATTCGTACAATCTGTACCTGAAATATCAGGGCTTATATTAAGGCATTCATTTAAGGGTACTGATATTCACGACCCTTCTAACTTCTTGAACACCCTTACTATGTATTTTGGCTGCTATATATGCTTGTCATTTGGCTTGGAAAAATAAAAAACGAGTAGGGGTGTCCAAGAATCTATAAAAGGGTATTTGAGTATCAATGAACTTCATTCCAATGTTCTGCTTACTGCAATTAATCTTTTGTTGTCTAATCATGGATGAGTTTTCCTGTCCATCACCTGCTGTTGATGTATTTTTACTCGTCAAACACCAGAGTAAGGAAGCCAAAATTATCATTTCTATCAGTTTGCTTTATTGGATTTTTACCATTTTCAACAATATTTATTATTCTTATGGAGCTTCTAATGTTCTTTGGTAAACTAATCTTTGTAGGTGTGCTGACGACAAGCCATTTGTGCCAACGTACCAGGTTTCAAAGGAAAAGGCAAAAAGCTTAGGCCTTGAATTCACGCCCTTGAGCAAAGCATCAAGGAAACAGTTGAAAGCTTGAAGGACAAGAACTTTCTGGGCTCTTTCTGCTGCACTGTGAATATGATCTCAAACATGATGAGGAAACATTTCAGAATTGGTGTCATTGCCTATTGAACATACGTTTTGCAAACTCCTATTTGAACCGGGTCTGTCTGACTGGCTTATCTGCCTCGCACAGAGATTTGGCAGAGATCTACCTATGAAAACAATAAAGGACTCATCTTTTTGCTTATCATGGAAATTTGAAAAGGAAATGTCTTTTGCTTTTCCTTGTTCAAAATTCAAGGTTAAAGCAATGATGAGTAGATTTTGGTGCGTAATCATGTGGCTTACCTCTCTCTCACGTTATTTGGGGTCAGTGTGCTAAATTGCCATTTGATGAGACTTTAAAAATCAAGGAGCAGCTTTACTAATTAATGTCAGGGTAACAATTGATAAAAGATTGAAGTTTATGTGCTGAATTATATCCATATTATATGTATATGATCATTAAGAACATTAAGTAGCTCAACTTTATCCATGTCTAAATTGTTCAAGGCTTTGTGAGTTGTGTTCAGGCTCCTTAGCAACCCTCTAGTGGGGCTTAATTGTTAGGTTAATACTCGGTAAGCTGGTGAAAATTATGAATCACATGGGATAAAGTGTAAGCAAGGTTTAAAGGACGCTTAAAGTTTTATGCCACTAACATGAAGTCATTTTTACGTAATAATGTATGGATGCGTATGAAGCTTTGACTAATGTGATTGATAACATGTATTGCTGAATGTACTTGTACACAGCTCACATGGTCCATAAAGGTAGCCTGAGCCTTGAGGTACTTGCTGAGCAATTAAATTCATTCGGTGGATATTATCTCTGTTTTCGGCAAAGGTAAAACGAATGTGAATTAGTAGAGGATAAACGTAAGGGAGAACTGAGGTAGCATCCGGCTCAAGGAATTGTGGATATTGGAATTTATATGTTTGTAGAGGCTTAGATTGTTACTAGGTGGCATGACCGCGCTACGCGCGTGGATCAATGCAATTATGCCCTGTCTTGTATTGGTCATTGAGGATGAGAGTTGAGTGTGGAAGTGAAATAGGCTGAAATCATATAACGAAAAGTAAAAGCAAGAAAGGAGTAAATGTAGGAGAGTGGTGTATATGATAGCTGAAAATGTTAGAATGGAATTATATGAAACTGTATATGGAATTATATCTAAAGTTTTATTTATAAAGTAGAAGGTGATGATTTGATAAATTGGATACGAAATGGTGGATAATGGTAAAATATATTGTGGAAATTTTTTGCTTTTGAAATGCATGGTATCATATTACAATGTACAATTTTTTGGTAAAATAAATGACAGTTATGTATGAAGTAGGTGAATTATTACTAAGATGGATAAGAAGGTAAATGTTTATTAAAAGGAAATTGTTATTGGATGTAAAGTTTAATTTGTAATTGATTTTTATCTTTTTGTAGTATTTGTATCTATGAAATCATGTTTATTGATCAATCACAGAGTATTAATAAATAAGGATAATATAGTTCATGAATAATGTTACAGATACAAAAAGTTAATGACTAATTATAATAATAAATTGGCTAATTATAATAATGGATATGAAATACAGGGTACCAAGGGAAAATTTTTTCATCCCATTGCTGTTAAATATTAAAATAGTAAAGATGGTCTTCAATTCTGGAATGAAAATAAGGACGTCATTGTGCTGGAGTTGATGTTGAAGAATGAAAGCTTTCCAATTTTTTTTGAGCCGCTTGCCTTTGATTCCAATTTCTGTTATGTTATCTCCAGTTTTGAGAGCTATAAGTGGAGTTTTTTGTTCATTGAGAAAGTAGTCAACAAATCGTGGGATTTTCTGATACAAAAAGTAAAAGTTAGTCAGCTAAGTTGAAGGAAATGAGTTAGGTAGAGAATAATTTAAGGAAAATATAAGGATTCTTTACCAATGTATATGGGTCGGCTGAGTGAAAGTTTTGATAGAAGCATACTGAAGTGGATAAATCTTGCGAAAAATGAGGTTGAAGTGAAGATGTCACTATTTCTTCATGAATTGGCGGATCAGCATGAACTGCACATAAGAAATATTTTTGTTGGAATAAATAATGTAAGATTGGAACATTACTATGAAATAGAAAGGATAAAGATGTATTATGAATGTATACAATTTTGTTGAAGATGAAGGTTGGTTAGAGGGACTGTCCAGCTGAGATTTGCAATTCACAAAAATTAATAACATCAAAAAATAAATTCCCAATATGTCGAAGCAATAGTATGTGATGTTCATTAGTAATATTTTGTTCACAATATTTATCCCATCCTGCTCCAAACGAGTCAGCATTTACTGTAATATTCCATTGTTTTGTTCCATGCATGAAGGTAATTGTGTGACGGCCATGTTGAGATAGTAATGATTTGAATAGAGGAGGTAAAACCTACATATGATATTAAGATAAGAATATTTTAGATGAAATGTAAATTAGAGAAAAATTTGGAAATGTATGCTATTGAGCAAAAACGAATGTACCTGGCCTCTATTTTTGCATCGGATGAGAAAGCAACATCTTTGTGAAATAGTACTTGCCATTTTGAAGAAAGTAAGGTATGGATTTGTTGTAGTTGGTAGTAAGGTTTAAAATTCAAGTGAAAGATGAAAGTTTAGAAATGATAAAAGATTTTCAATCTGAAGGAGTTATGAATGTATGATAGGAGTAGAGTTAGGAAGTCTAGGATAGAAAAGATAGGTATATATAGAGAATGAAGAAATTTAGGAAAATTTTTTTTTTAACGAAATGAATGTATAGGAACAGGAATAATTAATGAAGATGGTTGAAATAAGAACAGGAATAATTAATGAAGGTGGTTGAATATGTAGTTGGTGCATGTTGTCAGAATAATAAAAATGAGATAACGTTGTTGTAAATGCGAATGATTCAGGAATGAGCACGTGGTTTGGTTTGTAAATCTGTATTTTTATACGTGTAAGAAAGGTAAATTGAAGAAGAAAGATAAATGGAAACAATTTTGATAAGATAAAACATTTAATTGACAAATAAAGGATTTTACGTGGAGAAGAAAAGATTGTTATGTAATCTTGAAACAAGGAAGAGTATAGTTAAACAGCGGTTATTCTATGATTCTGGCAATGATAAGTTGTTGAAGAAAAGACAACAGCAATACTATGATTTCTTGAAATCATAAATGGCTCAAAAAAAGCTTCAAACAGCTTCATCATGGCCATGGAACTATTACAGACATTGCTTGTCGACTGTTATTTAGCTAGTTACCCTTCAAAGAGTTTATTCTACTGTGAATCAAACATTCCAGTAAGTCAGAGTTGCAATAGGTACCTTAACTTCTAGAAGAGATACTTAGGCAGAATACACTAAGGAGCACAATAAAACAGTAAGGCCAGAGAAAGAGCAAGAAGTCGTGGCAACACAAGTCCCTGGTGATTTAATTACAGACAACATAAAAAGTTGCAACCAAGGAAATTGCATCAGAAAAGTTGGTCTATCGGGTTAATATGCCATATGTTCTAAATAGGCATTGGCATTGGCATAACAACTTATCAAATAGGAGAAGGTATACACCTGGTCAATGTGCCGCAAAACACCACTATTTGAAGCCAAAATACTCCATAACAAGAAAAAAAAAAAAAAAAAGCAAACTAAAACTACAAAAGTAACACCCAGCCATTATGATAGATCACAGGATACCAAGAACCAACTTGTGAACAAATTCCGTTTGATACTTTGTCATTTCCCTATTGCATTGTGATTCCAAAACTAAAGCAAGATATACATGTTAGGGAAACTGGGAAGCCTATCAGCAAATGACACACATAAAACTGCTTTCTGGTGATAAAAATGCTGGCAGGATTGCATCAGGACCATCATTTGGGTTCTATATATAGTTTAGCAAGAGATATAGGTTGCTATATTGTAATACCCTCCCGCCTCAAGTTCTTATCTTATGCTATTTCATCTTTTTTCCTGTGATTTTTTACACAAGTTCACTCAGTAAAAGAATCACACAATTGCATATAACAGATGGGAAAAAAAAGCTCCAAAATAAGTAGTATGTCTACATTTAAAGAAATGTAATTCTGAAACAGGAACAACATAGTTAAGTAGCAGTCATTTTGTGATTTTGGGAATCATAAGTTGCTAAACAAAACACAACAGCAATACCATGATTTCTTAAAATCATAAATTGTGAACAAAAAGCATAGAGCAGCAATTTAGTTTCAAAGTAGCAATCCTAAGTTTCAAAAGAAACTGTAGAACATGAGAACTTAGTTCAGTTTTGGCTTCTTGCTGCAGCTAGTTCCTTCAAGTTGAGAAGCATTTTTTCTGGTTCTTCAGCCTGATCAAACTTTTGATTTAGTGAAAGCGAATCTTTGAAGTTGGATTGTTTTCTTCAGTAGTTAAGTGCCTGGAGAAGAATGGATTAATTTGGAGTAAGAAAAAAGGATTATTTATCTGTGATAAGTATATTTATATACCTGAAGTTGTGGTCTGTGAAGGGCCATCCTGATTATGAACTGATAGAAAGGGAATGATTGATTCATTGACAGAAGAAATTGGGGTAGCAGCATCGGCAATCTCAGAATAATAAATGATTGTATATCGCTGCTTTGTATCTGCAACTTGAGTTTGTACTGGCTTAATGTGTACCAAGAACCACTTTGAGTCAAGTTCTTTGTGGACGATTTCAAGTGGAAGTTCAATGTTCTGTGAATTAGAAAGGATTTAAGAAAAAGTTTCAGAAAGCAGAGAATATGGTTTCAGTTTGTGATTTAGGATAAGTGAATAATAAGTTGAACATGAACCTGCTTAAAGTGTTCCATTATTTCAAGAGCATTGAACGTCAGCAGTTGTTCAGCTTGTTCTCCAAAGATAGAAGCTGTGATAACTCCAGTATGATCCCGTAAATCCACATCAAAGCGACACCTACAAAAATGTTTGTAAATAAAAGTTTAGCATGTGTAAAAAGTGATGATGATAGTAAACTTTAAAGCTTTTTTGAAAAAAAAGATTGGTTTTAGTAATGAACCTTGGTTCAGCAGGATGTTTTTCTTTACAAGTATTACAGCTAAAAATGACTTCATGTGCTGCTGCAGTACCTCGATAACATTTTTTGCAGCTCATATACTAGTATTTTGAAATATGTGCTGGAAACTGAACTGTGCTTTGACCCATGTACTCTAAATTCAGAAGTAAAAAGTATGAATATGTTGTTTGATAAATAAATGTACCGTAAAATAAACTATCAGTGAAGATGTTTATACCTTGTGGGTAGGATTAACATTGCAAATTAAGGTGGTCTTTTGATCTGGTTTCAATGAAAGTTCTGGATTGTATCTAGTATAAGTTTTCTGTTCCAGAATAACTGTCAACTCCTTGCTATTTCTTATTGCCCTATAATAAAATAAGGTTAAAGAAGTAAAGAATAAATTATATTGCATGAATCATGAACTGCTAAGAATGATAATGAAAGGGAAGAGATAAATCAAAACCAATTCTTTAGTTCCCTTGCTTCTTGAACAGGAGGATCAACGAGGATTGCAGAATCAAACCATGTGGACAAAGAAACACCTATAGAGAATATTATTGACTCAGGATCATTTGTTAGAGAGACTTATATATGGATATAAATGTATCAGATGATGGTTAGGCATTAAATTATAAGTTACCATTGTAGTTGTTGACTTTTATCCTTCGGGCAATAATAACAGGATAGTTGTTCATGGCAGAAATTATCTGTTCTCCTTCATTTTTGATGAAATCATCCCACATAGAAAGTACAACAGTTTGCAATCTACTATGAAATAAATAATTAGTATTTAATAAGATATATGTAATAGGAGAAATTATAACTACTGATCGTTATATATAAGATGAGAATTGGACATCTTACTTTTCATTCACAAGCACAAACTTTTGAACAATAGACTCTCTGTAGTGTGTAGTAATTGCCTTTTTCTCCAATGCTTCAATAACTATTCCAAGGACATCTAGAAAAAGGAAAAATTTGTTGAATATTTCATGCAGAGATATGCATACTATTTATATAGATAAGTAATGAGATATACCAACTGATTTAGTCTTATCGTCCATATACTGTGCCAAATCTGTAAACTTTGTATAGTTGAACTTGACAGGCATTATATCTTCATCATCAAGAACCTCTTCAATAACAGTTTTGCTCATGATTGTCCACTGATGAGTTATTTCAGCAGTCTGATATTTTGGTAAGATTGGCTTCACTTCAGCATTGGATATGTTGTATTTCTTATAAACTTGAAGGATTGAGCTCATTCTAGGGATGTCATTGTTGAAAATAATGCCTTCAACTTTTGATCCCTGTTGTATTATAACATAAGTTACCACAAACTAACCTTCCAAATAGCATCAATAAGACAGACAACTGAATGCAGAAAACAATAGTATCCTTATATAACCTTTTGATAATGGAACAGAGGAATTTAATTACATACACAGTCCATGGTTTATACTTTTGCAAGAACCATGGCACAATAGGCAATAATATTTTCTGCGAAACAATTTGTGTACCTCAGCGTCAATAAATATGAACTTTTGCTTTTTTGTTGGTGGACATTGATTGAGTAACTTGCTGTTTTTCTTGAACTGTGATTTTGCATGTCCAACTTTGCATTTCAGGCATAATTTCTTTTATTGTGAAAACTTTTCCATTCTGCATTTTCATGTATACAAAGGAAGAAAGATATCAGAAGGATTCATATATATAGCAACAATCATTCTTGAAAAAGAAGAAAGTTATTATGGCCATAAAGTACCATATTAGTCAAAGAATAATGAATGGAAAATCTGTATGATATACCTAAACCGTAATAACATCAGTGCTGAGTTAGCTGAAATATTTCTTGGAATACAACATTTCTAGTCTTGCAATCAACTTTAATGTCTCCAAAAGTTCCAGGCACAATGAGAATTTTAACTGCAGCTGATGTTTTAGCTCTAGATAAGGCTACGTACAACTGTCCATGAGAGAAAACCGGCTCACGAAGGTAAATCCCACATAATCAAGAGTTTGTCCTTGAGATTTGTTAATTGTTAAGGCAAAGCAAAGCCGAACAGGAAATTGTGTTCTTATAAATGGGAGGCCGTTCTTTTCACTATCAGATGTTTGAAGAGGAATTTTAGGCAAAAAGATTCTTTTCCCTTGGTGCTGGCCAAAAGCTATTTCAGCACAGATTGTATGCTGCTGAGCTCTCTACAGATGAGACGTGTACCGTTACATAATCCTTCTACAGGGTTCAGATTTCTCAAAAGAATGAGGGGACAATTTTCTTTAAGCAACAACTTGTGAGGAGGAAGACCTTTTGGATTTTGTGAATTGAGAAAATCTTCATAATCTCCTTGATGACGCTGATCAACAGTTTTATCAGAGCTAATAAACATGAAGATTTCCGAGAAACCTTTTTATCATGATATCATTTAGCTCATCAACTGAACTATTTTTTGGAGTAAGAATGCACCTATTGATCATAGTATAAGGATCATTTGAATAAGCCAATAAATCTGGAAATACAATTTTATCAACC